CAAAACTCTCAGGTTTCTCTACGCCTATCGATTTGATGATGCCTGTAAACTGGCTTCCCTCAAGCTAAATTCACAACCTGGGATTAAAAAAATTTCTTTATTTATTCATGAGGAAGTTTGCTGACTCACATTCAGGGCTTCGATACATTACGATTACGTTGACTTCTTGTCCCTTGCATTTTAGTCAACACCGCAGCATTTCACATGTCCCACCTCCATGTGTTGCTGTTTCTACACCTTTTACAGCTAAGTTATTCTTGGCGTAAAGGGTGACTTCACCACCGCGTGGTAACTTTTCACTACCTAATGGGACGAATCCTCGTAAGTCTGTTCCTCAGCCACTGATCCAGTGAGAGAGCCTAGCTTCTGAGATAGCAACGATGTCAGGGCTTTCGTTGCTTATTACATTACTAAGCTCAGCCCATTTGTTTAAAAAACTATGTGCATTTGTGTACAAGACAATAAAACTACGCAAATGAGTTTCCGTCCTATCCACAGAGGCTTTGGCATCATTTGTTGCAGAAACCTCACTACACGAAGAATCACTACTTTCAGATCTTGCCCATAAGCTGCTAATCTGGATTTCAGTTCTACTTCTGCCTCCCGCTTTTCGATTCCATCGGCAAGTGCCAGATTCTTTCGCACGAACACTCTAGATTCTTGAAGCCTGTGAGCATGTTTCAGAATCTGATTCCTCTCATCCGTTGACTTGAACACGACTTTAAGTAGCCGAAACTCATTTTCACTAGTGACCGTTTCCTGTTTTCCTACTCCATATATCTTGAGTGGAGTGAATTATGGCATATTTTCTGGTGAAGGCTGGCGTATCAAACTTTTTACCTTGCCGAGGTCATGTTCGAAACGTTTACTTGGTTCTTGGCCTCTACTTTCTTCCACTATGTGGGAAATTATGGACTTGTCAAGGATCTCTACTTTGTCTTTGTTATGTGGAGTGAGGAAAGCTGCCTCAATTACCGTTATTGGCTTCATAGCGTGCCCATTGGGCCTAGCTACTTGCCATTTTTCAGTGTCAGGTATGCTAGGTTTGCTAAAGCATAGTTCAGTGACCTTGACGCTATGAGCCCCAGAAAGGATGTGCATCCCATTCTGTTGAGTTCTTGTTAATGATCGGGTCGCCGAACTGGGTATGACCCGTGGCTTGCATGGTTCCGTCGTTGGAACTGAGAGCACTCCACTCCTGTTTCTTTCATCTAAAGTAGGCCTACTCTTACGGTAAGCAGTTTTCAAACTGAGTCTGCCAGCTCTGGGAATACGAGAACCAGAAGATACTCGCTTCACCCTGCTTGGTGCATTTCTTATAATTCGCTGTCAGCAAACCTAGTAGGTGGTCTACGCATCCGACTTGTAGACTGTCATGGGACGTTCTTACAATTTTTCACAGCAATCTGTGTGTCAATGGGCGCTGTGTCGTTATCAAATATCCCAGTTATCGACGTCGACTTTCTTGGTTATCGTATTTAGAAGTGTTTTTGCTTCTTCTATTAGAGTGCGAATATCCGAGCAGCACAGCGCACAAAGTTCGACACTTCCTGCTTTGCTGCACCTCTCGTGTGCTGAGGGTGTGATGCTTGGGCAGTTGTCGTGGAACCAACTCTTACATTCGCTACACTGCTTACCAGGGGCCACTGTGAAGTGGTACCCGGTCATACTACAAGCATTTTTACGAAACTTCTGGCCCACCATGAAGCAGAAACCATGGAAATTTACCCAGTAAAAGTTCCTGTCTCACTTTAATCGAATAATATCCCGATTAGAGCAAAAATATAACAGCCTTTGATGTGTAAACACAAGAAGTGCTAAGAATCTAGCTGAATGTGAAAAGTCACTCCCTCTTTCAAACAGCGTGAGATGGGTGACGGTCAGTTTAAGGAATCTATACAATATCTTCAACTTTGATAAACTAATGTCACATGATGGTAATTGTTCAGTCTATCATTCGTATTCTCGCACTCACTATTCCGGTTGCAACTAGTCAAGATCGCTGTAAATCTTAGATGTAAGTGATAAGACTTCAGTGTATTCGCGACAGACAGTTTTTCGATGCTGTACTAGATATTTGAACGACAAAAAACGAAAACTTCTACAGCAATGAAGCGCGGTGATTTCAAGGGTCGTGTAATTTCGACTCCGGCCACATGTACGTATTTACGCCGAAAAAGGGAAAGGCAGGTTCAATAGTTGTATGAGATACATATTCAGAAAAAAATAAAGAAGGACAAAGACTCTAATGTGTCTTTAGGTTTTCTCTCAGTCTCCACACTACTAAAAGTTTTTGTGCTCTGTCAAATGTGACAATTCATACACTTCGGACTATACATTGAAGTAAAAACGCCATAATGTGGACGAATTCACTGTAGTGTTAAAAATGAGGTAGTACAGTGGTGAATTGGTAATGAACCAATTGGATACTAAACACGACAATGAATACCCATTAAACACTTATATAGGGCCCTTCAGGGCCATATTATTCCTGTAATATGTGGCTTTTGTGTTTTATTTGGCGGTATGGTTTCGAAAGAATTATTTGGATTAAGGTAGAATCTTCGAAGAAGGTTGTTCAGGTCACAGAATTAATGGAAACTCTCTTACTTTATATTGTGAAATATCAGGATACGCTAAATATCATATTGGTGTAAATCTCAGTGTATTTGTGATCAGTAATTATAGGTATTTTCATCGAAGTCTGGTCCTAACTCAGGGAGGTTGTCGACAGTAAAATGCACGTGTTTATTACGAGTTACGAATCGTTGGGGTTATTTATTTAAATACATGTATTGTAATGAATGTAATATATCCAATGTCAACTTTTTACTTTGTATCCAGTATTTTCTTAACTCTGGTCAAATCTGGACTGAGATTGATACACAACAAGATTACCTATCAGTACTGCGTTACAAGAAACCATTACTTCATCGGACAATACAACGACTTAGCATGTTTTATTTCCTAAGGTCATACGGCCAGATAAAATGTCTGCGAAAACAGTAACTGTAAAGTGAAGAATGTTGGGTTATCAAGTTACAGGTTCGCATCGACCAGTCTTTATGGCATTCCTGTGTCTCCCACCTCCTTTTAAGTTAACATTAAAGGCACTTCATTTTAATCATATATACTTTGTGTACTACAAATTCTGATCAGCTTACAATTGAATAAGGTGTTCACTTCCTACCTAGACTTGCTTATGGGTGCTCGACTTGTGAAGCTTTTGGAAAAAATAAAACTAACTCCGCAGCAGCATGTAGCGTATCTTCCACTTTCTTGTATTACATGCATCTACAAATCTAACTACAGAAATGGTCGAAAAAATGCAACTAATAGTGTTGTAGGAGGATTACTTATTTGATGCTTTTTTATCGTCCTCTATAAATAAGTATACCTAGCTTTAACTTCTAGAACAATGGCGGTCTGTGTCATTAGTCGCAGCAGTTCTAATACTGCAACCGACGAAATGTGATAATCCGAAAATTCGGTAGGTGGATAAATAAACTGTCTACATAGCCATCACCTCCATATCAATGTTGTTAAAGTAGTTGGAGTCCTCGGTTTTGTTTTCTAATACACGTATACGCATATAGAAACACCACCTCATCTTAGTAGAAGCAAGTAAACTGTAATCATCCTAACCTATCTCTTCGTCATAGTGTCTAAAAGTGGGTAGTACGGGTATCATTTTGCATGCTTTTGTGAGTGACGCTCCATTGATAAACCTCGTGCTGAATTTTGTGACATTCTACCATCTTGTAGTTTGCTTTCATGCCTGTTTACTCTTGTAGTCGCAGCATACCCATCTGGGTGAATGAATGCAAATGCCGAGGAAACTACTCGAGTGCTTGACACCGCTTGCAAGCACTCCTCCTGTATATCAACTAATGCACAATGAGTTTTGAAAAACTGAAACTTGAAGCAGCTTAGATATGAATCACTGCCGCAGATAACCAAATAAATATGATAGTGTCTTGAGATTCGTTTGCACTATATAAAAGTTAAGTGTTGCTGTTCCCGAATCTTGAAAAACGTCAATTCCACTTCATCAAACTAGGGAGGTGGTTCATCAATGTGCATATTTTTCATACCTGACGCTTTGATTATATAAGTATGGAACAAAAGAGTCCGTTTCAGGTTTTATTAAGATGCTTACGGCAATCATATGGAGTTCTTTATAGTAAATAGTATTGGCATTTCCTAGGTCTCAGTAATGTGATAAAGTTACAAAGTAAATAAGAATTTTTTTAGTTACATCTGACAGGTAAACTAAAATGAAGTTACACTACCGGAGTGCCGAGATTTTAAGCGTAAAACGTAATTACTGTATAAAGTACTAGAGTTATGACTATTTAGATCTGTTTTCCCATTCAACAATGCAGATACTGAAAATTCCAGTGTCCACTTCGATGCTGTTTTGATGAACTGTAACTATTACAGTTTAGACTGGGATTTTCTAAACCAACTACATGTATTTACAAAGTGAGAAGGGGTTTGTTTGGTAGTAAGAAAATCTTATTTATAAAGGTATGAATTCCGTCTGTTCCTTATTACCACTTTCCTGAAACCTGGTCTTCCCAATTTAAATAAACACGGGATTCAATTGTAGAATTGATATTTCCGAAGAATATCTGGTTTACTAAAAAGTGAACAGGGTAAACTTAGCTATACAGCTCAAGTTCTGATTATATATAATTCTTTCAGATTTACCGCTAAAAGCATTGAACGAAGTTTCTTTGATGGTTTCTGCTTGCCGTTCATGGCCATGCAAACTTTTTTTCATGACGTATTCCTTAGACAATACTAAGATATGACAGGTTTGTTTTGTAGAAATGATTAGTTGCAGATTTTTTACATTTCATTTATGGTACTATTCTTCGTAACCCTAGAAGTAATTATGGAAACCACTGCAGCTTTTGTACTTCACTAAACTATGGTTTTTATTATTTTTTTTATAGCACCTATCCACACTTTCGTGTTGATATTTTAATTCTGTAATGAAATTCCGTACTCAGCAAAAGGGTTTCCAGCTAACTCTTGACTGCGGACAAAAGGAATTTGGAAGTACCAAATGTCTCCAGTGTCACATGGTTTACACACCTGGGGATAAGGAAGATATAAAGGCTCACAAGAAGTATCATCAGTTCAAATTATTTCCATTTGTTCGGGTAAGGTGTAGAGCTATTAGCCCAAATTCATTTGTTCATTAGTTATTAACTTTTCGTAACTTAGTGGAAAAGCTGTTCATAATATTCTAAGATGAACTCAAATAATGGCTAGCTCTAATTATTTTCAGCGACTCCATTTTTAATTTATATCTACAGATTCTCTAAGACGTTTTCTTGTATTAATTAAAGATGCAAAATGTGAAATAGTAGAGGTACCATAGGAAGCTAAACAAGTAAATTAACTAATAAATATAGAAGAAAATCAGAAACTATAAAAGTATTGAAAGAGCATATAAACAAATCAAAAGGACTACATATTTCGTCTGCCTTTCTAAAGTTCATCTTTCTGTCTTTCTCGAAAATATTAATAAAGCGTGGTGAGATACTTATTTACCTCCAATTTACACCGTATGATAGCGCGTCATTCTATGAAGTCACGTGATTTACGAGATAACTTCAGATCATGAATAAACAACTCTCCCTCATTGTACGATATCACTTCGTAAACTGACTTTTGATCTTGTTTTAACCCAGCTCTAGCTTGAGCGGATAGGGATTCACGTAAAAAGCAAGTTGCTTAGGCTGTTGTTTTAACCCAACTACTAGTTAAAAACCAATCTTCACTACCTAAATACGGTTGACTGTTGCATTATTTATAATGGAACACAAAAGACTAGGTTTCGCAAGCTTGGGGCAGAACTTCAGTCGCTAAAGTGTTTTACACTAGATGTTTTACAACCAGATAAACTTTGGGATAGCTTCAAACATAGTTCAACTCAAAAACATACTGGTTTGGATTTCCCTTTACGTAGATCATTCTCATAAAAATGTTTATCCAGGCACAAGGACTTTCCCATCATATCGAATGGTTTACCACCAAAAGTGAGTTCAAGAATATACACATTCTTTTTAATAGGTATAATTAAAGTGAAGTATTGTCAAAAAGATCAAAGGGATCTATGGAGTTAAAAAAAATAACATTTGTTACCTGCTATGGTAGTGGTGATGTTCAAGTACACTAATTGATTACTGGAATGTAACTAACTTCATGTTGTCTAGTTCTAAGTGCTGACCGAATCTTATCGATCATTTTGCAGGCTGACCATCAAGCTAGGAGATTCACTACTGCAATGCATTGAAACAGATGTTAGTTGGATTGAGGTAACTGGCAGGAAGCCCTTAACCTTGGTTTCATGCTTTTTTAGCAGGCCGAAAGATGGATATGTAGTCACTGGATCTGGGATGTGAATGAAATGCTTAATATTCACGATTCATCCCATAATTTCAGATATCTCTGTAGTTTGATAGCGACCAAAACTTTGGAATTCACTGGTAGTAGACCTATATCTCGGTGATTTCAGGGTACATTATTTAGTCTTTTTTAAAGCTTTGTACAGAGATGTTCTCACTTCAGAGTTACAGAGCACTTCCATTATGTTGCATTTTTATAAACAAATTAGCGGATGTTACAGCCAGAAAAGTCCACGAGTCAGTCTTATGAGTTGTGTTCTAATTTCGCATTTCTAGTTTTTAACAAAATTCTAGTCGTTTGGTGGGTCATTGCGGACTAAAGACGGTTCACAAGCCACTGGTTGGACTTGCTGTGGCAATAGTTCAACGCTACTGTCTAACATTTTAGATGCTTTCAGAGGTTTTTGCTGAGTTTGGTGTACCCAGGTTGCATCAGTGACAGCAGGTTTGTTGCTGATGACTGTTTGGAGAATAGATGGAGGATGCTTTAGTCAGCTCATTTAATTTTTAGTGTGGGATTTCACTGCCACACACACACTTTCCTGTTTTACTTGTACTTTGTAGTGTGCCTACTTTGATGAACCGTGAGACTGATTTTAATTAGTATTAAAGTTTTACTTTTTTCAGGGTGACTGAACAAAGTTGAACCTTTTTACTAGCATCAGAAACGAATAAAAAACAATTGCAATATTGACAACGATAATAGAATTTATACGGTTTGTTAAGCGAACCGCTTATACAAAAGTTTTGACTTGCAAATGGTCTACTCATTGAAAACAGTATGTTCTTTGTAGCCCTATAATTGAGCCTGAGATTGTCTACTGGCTCAAAGGAAGGATTTTAAAATTCTCTTTCCACGGGCTGTTTTGTGGTTTTTCGTTTCTTTTCAATTCTGAATTTTTTGAGGCCTCCTTCTTTAGTGATCGGTGTAGAACTACAGCGTTGACTGCATTTCGATTCTGACCGCTTCATTGCGAAGACTGTAAGTTAACTTACGTTTGAGTTGCTTTCGCTTCTTATTTTGGTTGGAGCCAACTGTAATGAGTCTTCTCTTATGAATCAGTTTGAATGGCGTTTCGGAAATCCAATGGTTTTTGCTAGCCTTTAGATCTTGATTGCCAACTTTCTTCACTGCTGTTTCTACAGAAGACTTTATATCACGTCAGGTTTCCTCAGGATGCGGATTGTTATCACGTTCAGATAAATGCTTAGCTATCTCCCGAAATACATACCTGACGTTCTTATCTCCTTGTCTCGCTTACAACAACTTCACCGTTGTCTGTTTTCTATGCGCAACAAGGTGTAAGTTAACATGTGCCTTTACTTACGCGTGATCGGAGTCCAAACACATACTTCAAAAATAGCGGCAATACGTTCTGTATCCATCACTAGTTTGGTATCGATGGATGCTAAGTCAAATAGTGTCTGTGCGTATGATCGCAGTTACTGCTAGCCAGAAACAAGTGATTATCAGAAAAAAAACCAATAATCACTGTTGTCAGTACCTTAGATAGGATAGATAGCCCCAAGGTGTCTTTCTGATTGGCTCAGCTTCCTTACTTGAACACTGAAGTTGTTTACTACCATGACTATGTCTAAAAGTTTTGCTTTATGTTGCGAAATTGACAGCTTCTGATAGAGTTCATTTTTTGTATCATCTGAACTACATTTTGTGGGCACGTAGGCAGATACTACGAATAGGCATCGGCGAGTGTCACAATCCTTCTCAATTCACACAAGTTCGTTCGGTCGGACAGTCCATAGATGTCTATTGACTGGTACCCAGTTTAGAAGTGCGATTTCTGTCTACAACTTGATGTCATGCTTATAGCAGCGAGTTAATGGAAGCTAACCATTAAATCCGTGGTCACTTGTGAAGTTAATTTTGCAGATTCACCTCATTGGCTTGTTTAGGTCAAGTGAATAACCAAACTTGGATCCTATAGCAAATCTTTAAAACACAACATACATTTACATCTCGAGATTCTGCAGTTTTACCTAGAGACACTTGATGTTTGATTTGGGACAGGTTCCAGGCATGAAAAGCTATAATATGAAGTCAACAGCGTTTTTTTGGGTGATAGAAAATGTTTTTTCGTCGCTTAAATCAGTACGGAGGGTCGCAGGATTGGAAGTTGAGAAAGTTTTGAGAGGTTTATTTTTCATATCAGAAAGTGGAGGCAATAGAGGTGAATGAGGTCGATTATAGTTGGTTAGGTGTTATATGCTGTCGGAAGCATATGGGCGGTTGATACTTTCCTGTTGCCCGTATCTTGCAAATTGTTGCTGTATGATAACTTGAAAAAGGATTTGTTTTGCGTAATTGCAGGGCTTATGCGAGATCTGCCTGAGTCTGGTCATTTATGGCCTTTTTGGAAGTCTAAGATTTGAATAATAATGGTATTAGAGAACTCAGAAAAGGAGGAGAAGGAATACAAATATGGCATATGTTATAATTTATCAAGAAAAAGTATAGGTTTTTAGAATCGCAATTCGTTAACGCATCCATATCACAGGTCCATTTTGAACCAAACTACCTGAAGTTCCAAAGTATCATTAGGGAGTTTCATGTCTTATTGTAGTCCTAATCAAACCTTGACGTTTCTATATATTCTAATGGGTTAAAATGCCTTCAAGTTATCTGTTGTCCAGCTAGTGTAACACTCTTCAGCTGTTAGTGAAGGTCAGTCTGGATTGGGTTGCTTTCCTAACATAACATTCTACACTATATCTCATCCTTGTTCACTAATAAGCTTCACTGCATGCTATCATGGCTACAAGAATCAAATATTCATACTCTTCGCACTTATTTCAACTTGAATGCCCATATATCAGGTATATTATAGGACAGTGAGTATAAAAAATCTTTCGAAGCCATTCAGATATCTTGTGGGTATCAATAGTGATTAACTTTTTCAATGCCTGAACAGGCCCTCAGTATTCATGTCCACATTTCGTCGAATACAGACTCATTAGAGTTTTAAAGCTGTTCTCAAATACGTGAAATATCCAACTTACTCAACTCCTCTGTTAAGCTAGGTGCCCGTTCATTCGGAATTTGCTGAGATTGAATAAAATGCAAAATTAACATTCTTGACGGACATTGTTTGACGTGATCAAATCTTGCGAGTGTCAGGAGTTGATCCAATGAGTATTAACTAGGATTTCATTGACGAAAATCACAGTTTTGCTTATGTGTTCATCTATTCAGCATTTACGGTGTCAAATACTCATGAGACTTCAGTAGTACTTCAAACTTCTGGTTATTATCAACCCTATTTCACCTCGTCTCTTCCTGCTAAAAAATATATATCCTCAACTTCTTCCTGTTCTGAAACTCTTGCTAACTTTTCAAGCTTAGAAAGGAACACCTATGATCTCCTGAAAACGCTCTCCAAACTACACACCACATTATTCGAGGTTCACATTCTCAGTCAAACCAAGCAACAACCCTTATTGGCCAGAATTGAACCTTAAATATATGCTGCACTTATGGAAAACACATATATTCGATTTTCGCCTGTGCCAGTTGGAATTTGTTGTGGTAATGGCTTTCATTAAAAGGGTTACCTGCCAGGTACATTACTTGATTAACGGCTCTATGGTCGTACGCTTGTAAGAACCTGTGATAAGCTGTCTTTCATGGTGTCTGTTTCACGTAATACTTATCAGTGATGTCTGTTGTCTCCATTTAAGCTTAAATTCATCATAGATGTACTCAAAATTTTAAAAAGATTGGTCTCCTCACTAGCACAATCTAGCTCGGTGGTGTTATATATATATATATATATATATATATATATATATATATATATATATATATATATATATATATATATATATATATATATATATATCAGAAATACTAACTTCTGTTTCAGCACTGGTTTTTATCAGTATCTGATCTACCAACTGAGAGTAAAGTAGTCAAAGACGTTTGCCTGCAAAATATAGGTCAGTCCTGGTGGATTATTGGTTTGCAAAATCTTAACAGAGTCTGATTACCAGCCATCAACGTACACTACTTGTGATGACTGTGTGATACCTGAATCTCTAGTAAAAACTGAGTTTACTAGATAACACTGCCCTCTACTTCACTAAAGGTTGATTAAAAATTCTAGGTATTTCATTGTCGTTGCCTTATTATTATTATTATTATTAGTCCCTTGGGTTCCTAATGGAACGTAGGGCTTCAGTAGCGCGTCTCCAGTGAACTCTGTTCTCTGAAATCTTTTGAACCTGGCTCCACGACAGCCCAGAAGCCCTCATTTCCTCCTCGCACGATCTCCTCCATGTCACCCTCGACACCGACGCCCAACTCGTCGCTTCCCATGGGGATTCCACTCGAGGGCTTGGCCTGCTGCGTGATGTCCCCAGTCGGCCTTCTCAGTGTATGCCCAATCCATCGCCACTTCCTTCCAGTGCATATTTGTTGGGTGATAGGTTCTTGGTTGATTCGTTGCCCGTCCAGAGCTCCTTGTTGCATATTCTCATTATTCTCGCCATCTGATCTTCAGTAGCGAGCGTAAGCAGTTGTTGATGAATGTCTGTAGTTTGTTGGAAATGCCTTTCGTAACGCGTCGAGTCCCCAAACCATACAGGAGCACTGACTTGACATTGGTATTGAAAATTCGGATCTTGTTCACGCTTTATGCTGAGTGCAGTGCAGTAGATCTCCACACTGGTTTCAGGCTAATGAACACCTGTCTTGCTTTTCCGATCCTGGTTTTGACATCCTCGTCTGTGCCACCGCCTGCAGTTGAAACAGTGCTGCCTAGATAGGTGAAGGAGGTTACTTCCTTTAAGTTTCTCCCGTTGATGGTGATTGGAGTTTGTTGTTGGTGCGGTATGTTCATCACCTCTGTCTTATTTATATTCACCTGAAGTCCGGTCTTCGCTGCCCTGCCTCTTCTGCCAACTTGTTGGTTTTCGCATGTAGATCTTGAAGTTTGTGTGACATTAAACACAAGCCATCGGCGAAATCCAAATCTTCTAGGGTCTTTTCATCCGTCAAACAGCTTATGCCCGTCTTCTCACTGCTCATGGTTTGCTACATGATCCAGCCCACCACAGTTAGAAAGATCATGGGTGCTAGTAGACAGCCTTGTTTCACTCCTGTCTTCACTTCGCTTCAAAGGCATCACTGAGCTGTCCATTGTGAATTACTTGGCATGTGGCGTCTTCATATAGTTGTTGAATGAGGTTGACAAAGGTTTGTGGTATTCCATGGCGTTGGAGCAGTTTCCAAATTACCTCTCGGTCGACGCTGTCAAAGGCCTTCTCAAAGTCGATGAAGTTGAGGTAAGGTAGAGGGTTGACTGCCATCCTATACTCTGTTCTATGATGATGCTTAGTGTAGCGTTACAGTTTGGTGCGCACATGATTTGTACTTCCTGAATCCAGCCAGCCAGCCTGTTCTGGTGGTAGTTTTGAATCCAGTGCATCTTTATTCTCTGCAGGATGATGCGGCCTAATATTTTGCTTGCTCTGAGTGGACAGGAGAGTGATTCATTGCCAGTTCTTGCAAAGACTTAGGTCTCCCTTCTTCGGAATTTGACAAGGTAACCCTTCTTCCAATCAGTGGCCAGGTACCTTTACTTCCTTCCACACCTTCTGCAATAGTGGTGTGAGCATGTCCGCTGTTGTCTCTGTGTCTGTTCTCAGTGCTTCTGGCTGGATTCCGTCTGGTCCTGCTGCTTTCCCATATTTCAGTAGCTTTATGGCATTCAGGACTTCCATTTTCGTTGGAGGATTTATGTTCACTTGTAGTTCTGTGGCTGGGCTGTAGGTGGTATTTGTAGACGAAGTGCAGGTGGTGGTCGATTCAAGAGCTTCTTGAAGTGGTCGGCCCATTGTTTTCTCTGTTTCTCTTCTTTCGTAATTAAATTTCCGTCATCATCTTTTATTGGTTTCGTCTGCGTTGATCTCTTCCCCCCCCAGAAAGTAACCTGGTTATTTGATACAATGTTGTTAGGTCTGTCTGTCCTACCTGCAGCCTGTTCTGCTTCACTTGCCAGTGTTTCGTAGAAGTGTCTTTTGTCTTTCCGTGCACTCTTCTTCACTTCTTTGTCCAGTGTATCGTTTTATACATTGTACTCAGTTCCTCTTGTCGTTGAGCATCCATGCACTGGTTTATCTTCTGCTTCACCATCACCATCCTCCTCTCCTTGCTCTATCAGCTTCCATGTATCCGTCGAGATCCATTCCTACCTTGTCTTGCCTTGTTTCCTCTTCCTTCCTAATACGGTTGTGCAGGTTTCTTTCCACATAGCTTTCAAAGACTTCCAGTGTTTTTCCACACAGGTTTCTTCAGGGATGTTCTTCGATATCTCCCATTTTGTCTTTATGGCTGAAGTGAAGATTTCCTTTGTAGTTTCATCCTTCAGTTTCCGGGTGTTGTACTTGAACTGCGGTCTATCACCAGCTTCCTTGAAGGCTTTTAACTTGATTTGGAAGGTTCCTTGCACTAGATACTGGTATGAGTGGTGTGAACCTACATCTGCTCCTCTTCTTGACCTTGTGTTAAGTAGGCTGCGTCTCCACTTTCTTCACATTAAGATGAAGTCGATCTAACTTTTAGTGTTTCCATCTGGTGAATGGTGAAATCCATGTCGCTTTGTGGATATCCTTGTGCTTGAACACACTGCCTCACTGCAATCACCAGATGGTTGAATGCACAGAATTCTGCAAACAATTCTCCATTCTCTTTCATCACCTCACCGAGTGCTTCTCGACCTGTGGTTAGTTCTCTTCCTGTGTTGTCCCCTCCCAATTTGGCATTCATGTCGCCCATTAGAATTTTGATATCGCCAACTTGAGTGGTGTCTTGTCCAGTGTTGATTGAAGTTGTCTGTAGAAATCCTCCTTTTTCTCTTGCTCTGCATTATTTGTAGGTGCGTAGTGTAGCGTAGCATTGTATGATTGTGACTTTCCTTCCTTTTGAGTTGAACCTCGCTGTCATGATCCTGCAGGAGGAGATTGGTTCCCACTGCATGAGGGCCTTCAATGCTGTTGGGGACATCATGATAGCCACTCCATAACTCAGTGTGCTCGTGGTTGTCTTCTGGGTGACAATATCGGGGTAGATCATTGATTCTCCAGTTGACAGTTTGGAGAGTCCACTCCCATTCCATCTGCTTTCGCAAATTCCAAACACTTCAATGTGATACCTCTTCATCTCGTTTGCAATCTAGGCTGCCTTGCTGGGTTCAAACATTGTGCGGACATTCCATGTCCCCACATTTACTTTCGCTTTCATCGAGAGAAAACACATCGGCCAATTGGCTTCCCGAAGGCCTTCACCAACTGGCTTCATTTCGCCTCTCCGATTCCAGCTGGGAATAATTTTGTTTTTATTTTTTATATATCGTTTGTGCTTTGAAGTTTTTTTAGCGGTTAGATTTGTTTTAGGGGGTAGGTTTGGTAGCCGTATGCCCAACCTTCCCTCTTTATGAGGGCTTAGGATCGGCCAGTAACTAGTGAACTAGTTAACCAGACCAGGTTGTCGTTGCCTTAGCAGCATCGCTTACTTGTGAGACAATCACTTTGTAAATAATATGAAAGTTAAGCTCAGAGTATTGAGCAAAATAAGTAAGTTTTTGATAAGACTATATCTTCTGCTAAGATGTTTAAGACGTGTATTCCTCATGTAAAGCCGTCATCTACTCTATCATTCATTGTTAGGTGAAGTACGATTGGTTTCGAAAATTCCTGATTTTGGACAAGTAAACAGATGGCATCAATCCAGAATATATTTTATTTGCCTGTTCGTAACAGACACAGTATAATGATTAGATTATTCTAGTACACGAGAATATTTCACAAAACGATGGTAGTAGCTTTCATTGTGAAAAGTCATTTCTTGTTAAGGACTGTTGAAGTGAACGGTTTTGAGTAGATATTTTTGTGTATAATGTATAGGGGATTCCTTTACTTTGTATTTGATTTGTTGTAGCTACCAAGGGGACGACATCAACAAGTTATTCAAGAGAATTTAAATGGTTCACGTGTTGTGGAACTACTGACTGATTGTCGACTTGGACAAGGTTTCTATGAACGGATATCATCCCTTTTGAATAAGGAATTTGGCTATGACCAACCTTTACGGAAGAGTAACTCTTCTTGCGTTAATGGCTCTGGTATGAGTTTATGTCCCGACTGGCGTGTTTTCGTTCATGTCATCGATCGGACACAACAAGTGGTAGGCTGCTGTGTTGTCGAAGAGCTAACTACAAAGAAAATATTAACAAAGGGTTACAAATTAAATCGTCTGATCGGTGGACGGAAAGCTCTTTTATCTTGGAGTATTCAGAGTGCTGACCAAAACCAAACTAATCATAATTCAATTCCCTTACATTTTGAGGACACATTATGTACAGACATTAGCGGACCAATATGTGGTGTTCGGCGGTTATGGGTGGAACGGGACCACCGTCGGAGGGGGATAGCTACGAGTTTATTGGATGCTGTCTTACAGAACTTAGTATATAGTCTTCCACTTCCCCGTACACAGATAGCTTTTGCTGAACCAACTGCAGATGGTGCGGATTTCGCTGTATCTTACGTGGGCCGTGAAGATATTTTAATCTATTAGTTTTATATTTCCATAACAAATATTGTACACCGATAATTTGAGATGATCAATAATAGCGGTGAAATTATTTATTTACTTTTATTTTCTAACTGTTTAGTCATTTTTTGAGCACACTCCATTACTTTCCTGAATGAAGTTAATTCACGATACTGTAAACTCAACTGTGTTTTTCTAATCGGAAAACCTAGAAGTTTACTGTTGAAGTGCTAACAATGCTGGTATGTGATGTATTACTCGAGATAATAGCCCGTTGTATCCTGTGAGATATAACCGTTTAAGGTAGAAGACATGAAGCAGTTAAAGGATTTTGATCATAGGTGTCTTTGTAGTACTGCTCGCGTTTGATATGAGAAATGTTGAGGTCAGGCGAAGAGTACAAGGCAATACAGGCAAGTCAACTGAGATGGCTTGGACAAATACTACGCATGCTGAGCCACCCCTACCTCGATATGCCATGCTAGGAAAAGTTGGAATAGGGTTCAGAGTGACCAGAACAAGACGTAGCACCAATCGATGAGCGGTGTTTTGAGGTTCAAACCACGTCCCAGGGGTCTCCGAATCAATAGTTGGGGGTTTTGATGACATGACTGAAAATTGGTCACAGTTGTATCCACTTTTTGACGTCTTCTTAAGCTTCAGTATTTGCACTAACTTTGATCTTCGGATTGTTTATTCTCTCATACTACTTTATCTTCTTTGATATCTATGTTTTTTAATCCACCAGCTCTTTGTATACTACTGTGAAGTGTGGAAATCTGAACTGATGCACTTGTGTGTGAAGTCCTATTTTGATTGTCTGTTTGACTCAAAATAACAGTTGAAAAGTCAGAATTCCGGGTCGATAACCATTTAATTCAGATTTCAGTAGTTGGTATCCTAGATTTCCTAGTTAACATATTGTTCATATTAATGCGCCACTGGATAATAACTAATATCATGTTGTCTTCAATGCTAGGTGTATTATGTTAATGATGTTTGTATTGAATCTATTATCCTCAATAATTTAATATCTCTATGAAACTAATTTGATTTTTGGAAGTTAGAGGATGTTCGCTGGAAATCTGTTTGCTGATCTTACTCTGTTTGATTGCTCATCAGCATGATGAATTAACAGGTCTGAAAAAACCTGAGGTTTTCTTTTGAATTATTTCGCAATCAGAGACATTATCACTAGATTACTTACACCTTAGCTGTTCGACTGATGTACTACTTGAGAGTGCAGCAGCAATTTCCTATCGTGTATTTCCATCTTCGTAACATCATATTACCACTTACTAACTTTTCAAATATATAGGTACCAATCATTAGTTCGTAAACTGGTCATTGTTAGCCTATGGTTCCATACTCTTACAGTCTGAGTACATCTAGTATGAATATTTTACCCTCATATGTTAGTCAGGAGTTAATTTCATTCCAGTTTATAAAATCGAAAAACTACATTGAGAACACGTTTTTGTCGGTAACTAATTTGCACCATTTTTCCCCTAGTGAATGCTTTGAGTAAAATCTGTAAAGTGATAACCATAGAAATCAGATTCGGATGAAAGGGATGAGTGCTCTCAAAGGGAAAATAGTCAAGCCCTATGGTCATATACGTCTTGTAAATATGAATGCGACGTCGGACAAAATTCAATATACTCAAATCGTTATTGTGAGCGATGTTAACTATGTGAATTCAACCTTATGACTAAAGTAAAACAAACTGTTAAATGGCAGTAATCAAATGTGCTGAGAAGTTAAGAACAACAAAAAAACAAAGTGGGTTTGAAGTTAGTTGTGATAAACTACCAGGTATACGAACTCGACCTAGTTGGGGTACCTGAGAGGAAAAAGGAATAATTATGAACTGGAGCAAAATAACACCATAAAAACTAACTTCTTCATGTGATCTGGTCTCATAGTTAGTCCTACCATTTCCGATATGATTATACATGTAAATAGCAGTGACCCAGTGGTACCGTACTGAAGTTCAATAATATATTGTGATAGAAGAATTGTGACAGCGTTTTGAAACAGGAAAATCAATGTAACTAAGGTAATTAAAGACACTGTAAACATCGAGCACAATATACAGTAAGGAACCGAATGATCAGTCTAATCTGAAATACTGACTTCCTTTTTAGTCATACAAGGATGTAAATGGAACCTTGTCTAGCTTGTGATAATACTACTACTACTATCAAAATAATGGTCACAGTAGTTGTAAATCTATTAAAGTGCATCTCAATCCAAATAACAGCCCGTTGATTTAAGAACCTGTATTATTAAAAAAATATACAGTAACAATATTTCGTTTGTATTCTCAAAACACATCCAGCCGCTTTCCAGAATAGTATAGTCCACAGTTTAAATCAGTGATCTATTGGTTTGAGCTCAGAATTTCAGCTATCGGATCACAAATGTAAGCTGTGTATTTGCTGTGGTGTTATTTACCACTTAATCAGTCTTTGAACTGTTGTGAAATGTAATATCTTGACAATACGTATTTCTATCCAAACATGAGATCAGCATAGGAATAACCATTACTGCGTAACGGTCAAAGTTACCACACCTCATATCAGCACTATAAGCAGGAAACCACTAAGACAAATCAAGAAGAATGCAGTCAAAAGTGGTAAAAAAAATAACCGTGGTAAGGCAACGAGGAGTAAAAAAAAGTGCTGAATTCAGATAATAAGTGGATAAACTATGCCACAGAGATCGATCCCGAGGCATATCGACTACAGTTTCTAACCACCAGTTTCTGTTGCCATGTGGACTTCATCCGGGAAGGTTGACAACCGACTCCACTCTTCTCCCAGAAACCCTCCAAACAAATGACGCGGTGACACCGCGACACGCAACGAAGGCGGCGCCCGTTAAACATCTGAAGGCTTCTGAAATCTACTATTTATGGTTATGTTTCACAACCATATAGTAGGACAAAGCGAACTGTAGTTCAGTACATTCGGTGCTTAATAGGCAATCGGACATGACTGTACCGCCACGTGGTGGATAACAAAAAAGACTTGCATCCGTGCAAAGGTTTCAACGATCCAATAAGGCTGGTCCGAATTCTGATACAAGTGGAGTGATCAACGCGCTCGACCACTTCACTTCCTGGTGTCAGACAATGCATAAGAATGGAGAGAGTGGATATTCCTGACGGACACCACTCGATGTGCGCAACTCCATAGCTCGCCGATGAGTGGTCGAGTAAAGAGCCTTCAGAGGAGTGATGTAGTTACTCGGCACCAGTTTTCAGTGAGAGACATTCCTATAAGACCTGTCGATCAACGAAGTCGAACGCTGCATTCAGGTTGAGAAATATAGCCATTGTCGGTTGCGGGTGGTTGTGCCTGTCCCAGAACCTGGTGGATGGTAGATATCTGGTTGATACACCCACGAACGGGACTGAGACCTGTCTAGTTTCCTTATTTTTGCTGTTCCCGGGCTCCACTCAGAGGTCTCGTAATTATAGAAACCAGGATCTTAGACAATATGTTCGTTGGGTTGATTTCCCTGCAATTATCACAAAAGGGCTTCTCACCTTTCTTGAAGACTGGGACCAGTCAGAGGGAATCATAGACTAGGAAACACTTCAGTCAACTTGACCAGCAATCCTCGACCACCGTCGTGAAACATCTCTGGTACTAGTCCCTTTATCGTTTCAGGTTATCTACTGTCTTCTCGACTTCTGCAAATGTTGCAAGCCTAATCTCATTGTTTTTACTCAGGACCCAACCCGATAGTAAGTGGATGCAATTTGAAGCGAACGCCCATCGTTCCTGTCGTGTCTCCTGAGAGAGAATCTCAGACCCATCCTTCCTTACTACAGTCTCGTTAAACATTAAACTGTTTGCTCTAGTTTCCTTAACAATTTTGAATAGTTGCCTACCATTACTTAAGACCGTCACCTTTGTCATATTATCTTTCCCTGCCTACCACTGATCGCGGTCATTGGGTATGCGCAATTTGTCAGTCATTTGTGTTGCTTCCGCACCTTATTGTGCTCAGAGCCCGCGATGATTATTTCGCGTGCATCTGTTAGTTCAGAAAAAGCAGCAGATATCCACTTTTTAAGAGTCAGCTGCGTTCGACAACGTTTTCTCATTATCAAGCAGACCTTGCAAGTCTCGCTGCTGTAATGTTTCTACGAAAATTTAGGCGCAACGATACCCGCTCTCCAACCAACGCGTGGTCATTGTTCAAGCATTAGCTCCAGAAGGAATAGAAACTTTCCACTGACTCTTTCCCTTGACAAGTGATTTCACTGTGGTCTATGTCCACCACTGAGCTGAGGTCAGCGAAGACCCCTTTGAAAAACAAACCGGTTTCTGTTTAAAGTTCGTGCTAACCAGAAATGGATGGCAGTGTGAGCAAATCTGCAGCAGGTGATCGGCATATTCCGTTCCTTCGCCTGAGATTCCAAGTGTCACCTAGACGCTTTTCTGCCTGATCTACCCTACCCACTTGTGCAGTGAAATCTTCTGCTAAGACAACCATATATGAGTGTTAAGCTTTCCATAGAAGGCTTCATTCTTCAGTAAAATTCACCCTTCACTTCATCCGAGCTGCAGTACCTGTTCGCGTAAGTAGGAAATATAAAAGAGATTGATGGTTTTCTCTATTCTTTTTAGTCGGTACTGTGCTGTTTTTGTTAAACGTCTTACAGATAGGTGACTGACTAGTAGGATCTAGTCGAGCAATGGGCTTTCTGCCTTTACTGAACGTTATTCTTCCACCTGCAATACCGCGAGAACTAGTCATCAAATCTCAAGAAACTCAAAGGGTGAGCTTTGTAGATTCACCATATTGGCCAGGTGAATTTGGGGGAATAACTGTACTTGAGTCTTGTATGCGTGTCTTAGAAACACAGCACACTTCCATGGCGTAAAATGCTACAGTTTTGGTTAACAGAGCTTATTTGTCGATTTGACTGAAGGTGCGTACATTGAAAGCTCGAGTCTGTAATTTGTAGCGCGGTTTCTGGGAACCAGATAACTTGGGAATGTTGGCCGATAGGAATGAAGGAAAATTAAAATTTAAGGATGAGAAAGGTGAGTATTTCAGTGAGGTGCTTAACGTGTCGACCTTGAGCATTAATTCTCCCGTCATGATTGTCCTCAAATGGCTGCATTGTAATAGTATCATATGATTAGTGACTAAGAATTTAATTTGTCTGCATGATGTTCATAAATTTAAAGCAGAACATTATCAATCTTATTATTCTTCGGAAAATACATTTCTCTCATTCTGGATAGTCTTGTCCCATAAACCATAAAACACGTATCATTGAAACTAGGATTCACACTTTTATTAGATAAGTCGTAGGAAATCTCGTTGATCCATCAAATAGATACTCTGTAACCGAATGACCAAGAAAATTTGATACACCTTATTGTTCAACTGTAACTGGAATGCTTGCATCTAACTTCACGGCTATCAACTGTAAATGGCTCATTTGTGCCTTAACGAGCAATCAATTACGTATTTCTGCATTCATGTACCAGTTAGTTCTTTGACTGACTACTGCCGTTTACGTTCCCTCTGTGTATTACTGCGAGGTGTGGTAACCTAAGCAATTGAACTTCTACATGACCTTATACTTTTGTTCGTATAAATAAAGCTCGTTCTACAACTCGTTTATATTCTATCCGACTTGTATTTTTAGGAGTTAAAGACAAATGAGTGATAATTACACAATAAATACAAGATGAAGTTTATCTGAACAATCTCCTGTATTTTGCATAATACATTGTGAACAATCTTACCACACATTTAGTTGTCCAGTTAATTTATATTAAATCAAAGAGTGGGAGGACAAATACAACAATTAACATAATAGGGGATTAAAATTAAGAAAGACGAGAACAAAAACTGGAACAGCCGCGTTGTTTGATCCTAATCTTGGTAAGAAAACAAAGTTTACCAAGGTAGATGTTGTGTAAAAACAAATCGTTTTTGTTTACATTTGTGTTTGGCTATCGCTTCCACAAATCTCAGTATACATCCCTGAATGTTACTATATGAAACTTTGAAAGCTGTTTGAACATTAATTTTGTGACCTGTTTCTACAATATGTCTAACTATAAATGAAGAGGGTCGTCTCTCACCAGCATTTATCAAGATTTTACACCCCATTTGTTTTTGAAGCCATTTAGGTACATGTTCTCCCACCCTCAAATGCATGATTGAATTACTTACTCCTCCCTATGTATCTATGACCACACACAAAGATACAATGGGATCTGACGTAATCATTGATGCAGTGTTTAGGTTTGTGGTGAAGCGTATGTTTTGTTCTTTCCACAATGATAAGATTAGCTGTGTTATATGTTTTCCTAATGGCTGTTGTAAGCCCACGTCTCAAAATTACACTACTCAACTCTCTCATGTATGATAGAGTGATATGGAGGCTTTTCTTAGTAACCGTGTTTAGAGTTGGCTTCGGTGCTACTTGACCTCTAAAACGGTTATAAACTTCAAAGGATATCCGTTTCCCATAAGTGTTTTAGTCAGTAATTTGATGTCTTCATCTATCGTATCTATTCTACTGATACGATAGATCCTACTAAAAAGGCATTTTACTAAGTCTCGCTTGGATTGGGTTGGACGAAAACTGTGAAAATTCAGGTATTGTCCTGTCCATGTAGGCTTTGTGTAAACTTTTTCTGAAATGCTATACATTTAGTTCCCTTGACAAATTCGAACATCGCAAGAACAAAGGCATTTGCAGAATAAACTGAGCTCATTTTATTTCATCAGCTGCAAACAGTTTACAACTGAAATGAATTATCAGTAGTAATTATAATATAAACACGCAGAAATAAATAGAGATTTGAAATCCAGAATTAACAATATGGTAGTGAGTCAAGGAAACAGAGGATTAATGGTTACACATCTTCGTCAAAATCTATGGTTATTCATATCTGATGAGATGGAAAATTCTGGAGCTGTGAAGTGGGGCGATAACGAACGAAAATCAGTGTAAAAGGAGGGATTGTTTAAGGGCTAACAGGTTACGTAATAACATGAAAATCGTCAGGTGATTAATAGTCAATAAATAACTTATGAAGAGATGATGCAATCAAAGGAAAAGGGAAAACTATATACATTCACATTTAAAAAATTATATACATTTACCAAGGTGAATCACAGTCTTCTTCTGAGTACATAGGTCGGGTTGTAAATGTTTGATAGCGAGATCTTCCGCAAACCGTGATAAACATGGTGTTCTTTGTTTGTTGATGATCCTGAAAGATTGAGAAACATCTATTTGGTATCCTGTTCCCATCAGATGCTTGGCTATTGCGCTTTTAAAGACCTTGCTACCATTCAGACACATATTTATCGGAATATACTCATATAATCGAGTAGACACCCTTCTTTCAGTCCATCTTAATTACTTGCTACCACAAGCACAGGTGAATTGATATACGCAGTTGAAGGTGACGTGAGATTGGTATTTATCTACTTTCGACTGTTATTGAGCGTAATGTATTGTAAGGTAAGATCAGTCTGGAAGCAGGGAAGCTCCTTCTCAGTGCAGCTTTTATTCTTCTGTCTATTCTCTCAGATGTCTCATCACCTCTGAATGCTACGTGAAAGAAAACAAGATTTTTTTCAACAGTTGGGTGTTTTGGTCTCTCAATAAATTCTTTTCCCTGCTTCATAATGAATTTCTTCGGGTATCCATTCTCTATAAAAGCCTTCCCACTTATCTCGAATTCTTCTTATTTATCTTTAGATCACAGCCTTTTTTATTCTAGTGAATAGCATCCTGACTAAACCACATTATAGCTGACAGGACAGAAGCTATTGTAGTGAAGGTGCTGATCAATGCACGTGTCTTTTCTGTGGACAGTTTTCTCAACTGTACCATCACATCGCCTTATACTTAGATCCAGAAAATTAAATCCGTCCTCATTTTCATATCCCATTGTAAAATTAATATTTGGGTGAGCTTGATGGAGAGTGTCGAACAACTTTGACGCATGATTCATATTATCACAAACAATGAAACTTTACCTATGTACTCAGAAGGAGACTGTGATTCACCTTGGTAAATGTATATAATTTTTTACATATGTATGTATATAGTCTTCCCTTTTCTTTCGATTGCATCATCGCTTCATTAATTACTTACTGGATGTAATTACGTAACCTATTAGCTCTTAAACAGTCCCTCCTTTTACACTGATTTTCGTTTGTTGTCACCCCCCCTCCCCCACTCTACAGCTTCAGAATTTTCCATCTCATCAGATATGAATAACCACAGATTTTAACTAAGATATGCAACTATTAATTCTGTGTTTCCTTGATTCACTACCATATTGTTAATTCTGGATTTTAAATCTCCAATTATTTCTGTGTTTAAAGTATGTTATGTTATTATTACTACTGATAATTCATTTCAGTTGTAGGCTGTTTGCAGCTGATGAAAAGCCATGAAATAAAACGAGCTCGATTTATTCTGGGAATGTCTTTGTTCTTGCATTTCTGTAAACTGACCGTTTTAGTGAACCATCATCTCGTCGACTCAGGAGTATATATCTAGGAATGGCAGTTGATTATAATTCTTTCTCACAACTCAGGTTGATATGAGTTTGTACAGTCCTAAGTCTTTTTAGTAGACAAGCCATATCCTCACATACCACCCACAAATTACTTTGATGTTACCTCTTGTAAAGAGAAACTTTAGAGATGAGATTACCAGCCAGTTTTTTGATATATGACATATAAGTATCAGCTAGTAGTGGTTCTAAGGGACTACCCATAGCTACACCGTCAACTTGTCGAAAGCGTTCAGCTTCAAATGTAAAGTGGACTTTGTCGGTACACAGCAATAATAGCTGCCTCTGAAAATTTGAAGTAATAGGAAATGGGAGGTTTCTAGGGGATATATAGTTATAGAGAATGCTAATAGTCTTAGACAATGGCACGTTAGTGAATAAACAATTTACATCGAAATAGTACATAATTTCGTTTTTTATATTCATGTTACTAAGACAGTTAACAATTTGAAAAGAATCTTTCAATGAAAACTTACAGAATTCATTTCGAACTGGATTCAATATTCTCATCAGCCATTTTGCCAGTTCATGTGTGGGGGAACGACACATAAACAATATAGAGCGTAAAGGATTATTAGCTTTATGAATCTTAGGTAATCCATATAAATTTAAAAACTCGGATTCCTACATCTTCAAATAATTAAAGTTGGTTAAAGGATTAAATTAGTTGATATTGTTCATGAATTCCATAGTTCAGAAACACGACAAAGAAGCATTCTGAGTTCAAAGCACTTCAAATCTTTGAAAGAATTACAGAGCAGATCAGATATAATCATTCTTAGACCCGATAAGGTATCAAGTATTGTTGTGATAAACAAATCTGACTATAAAAATAAAATGCTATCCATCCTCAGTGATAAAAGCAAATTTATAGCCAGTGTCTCACCAGAAGATATTAGAAAAATGGAAGGATAAGTAACTGCTTATTTATTTAGTAAAGCTTTTGAATATGAATATCATTAGCAAAGAGGAATTCAATTCATTGAAACGTATGGGATGCAGATTTTCAAATTTGTATATAGATTACCTAAGATTTATGAAGCTAATAATCATTTACACTATCCAAATTCTTCAAAGGGAATAACTGTTTGAAATTTTATAATAGATTTCTTCATTCACAAATTTCTTTAAAATTATATGCATAAAAAGTAACAAGTTAAAGGACTTGTAAGGATTCAAACAGAATAAAAAATATATATTTACATTATTACAGAGAAATGATTTAAGTTATTTATTTGCACCTTTGAATCGGGACATAGCCAAGGCCAATTTATATTTCTATATAAAGATCAGAAAAAACCAAAATAATAACGGCTAAGAAACTACTTATTTTTAAAATATAAGTATACTGTTGATGAAGCTATGATCAAATTACCTACATTAAATATGCTATCACAGTTAAATTTAGTAACAGTGAAGATGGATATTAGTTACAAAGTTCTGTGAATGAATTTGAGCAGAAATCCGAAGTGCTTATATAGATATATATATATGCTTCGTCTTATTGTAGGGCTCCTCAGTAGTACGCACTCACGACCCGGCTACGGAACGAACTCAGGACTTTCAGGTGTTACGGCGAACGCGTTAACCATTCAGCCACTGGGTCGAAGTTCAATGGTTCATAATTTCCAACTTCTGTAAATTCGCGATACAGCGCGACTATCACCGAAGATCTTCAGTTGGCATTCGCTTTCTTTCCCGAATGGTCACGACCTCGTATTAGAACTTCGAGATATTCATCTGGGACTATGTTACTTAAGAGCACTATATAGCAATTTATTTTGAGGTTAAGGGGGATTTGTTTTTAAGATACCATTCATCATGAACTGACATGAAACCTGAAGGTCCTGAGTTTGATCCCTAGTCGGGTCGTGGGTGCGTACTGACGAAGAGTCCTATACGAGGACTAAACAGCTGCCAAGTGCTTCCAGATTTTCAATGGTTCCCCAACTGATGTCAATCCATGATAGATCCCAGACAAAATATATAACAAACAAAGTGTATAAATCTCCCATGTAGCCCATGAATACTGTGCCTTAGTTTAAACGTTGTATGACTATTGGATGCTATGTGAAATGTTTAAATTTTGATTGCTAGACTACATAAAACATCATTTTGACTTACTTTTACAGCTGCTAAAATACGTTCAACATCTGATCGAATTTCTTTTTCAGGGATCTGATATATAAGTCTAGGAGTAGATGGTGACAAAGTAGCTGGTTTCTTTCGTGGTTCAAGATTTGGACTAGGTAAATAATTATCATATTCATCTGATAATTCTGGAAACTCTTTTTCTGAATCTATAACATGCAAAAACAGATATATATATATATATATATATATATATATATATATATATATATATATATCCAATCAGTGAGTATTTAATATCTTGTTTATGTGAAAATAAAGATAAAACAATGTTAACTTTATAGGAAAATTCTAGGGAGGATTTAGCGTATATACTCAGAAAAATCACATTTTCAAACGTTGTATTTATGCACTCATCGAAAATTGATTGAAATCACTCGAATAATAATGGTGAATTCTAGAAAACTGTTATGTAATAAGAATGATCTGGGATGAAATAAAAATATAAGGCGCTAAAAGAAGACTGATTTTACAAGACGATATCATTTCGTAGCTTCTCTAAAAACACACAACACCTAACATGGTTCACGATAATAAGTTATTCGTTAATATTTCTCTTCAGTTAGGTGAAGTCAAAGAAAATATTAATAGTCGGTGATGATTGAAAACGAAATGAAAATTTGGACCGCAACAGGATTCGAACCAGTGACCGTTGGGTTTCTGGTCCGATGCTCTACCAACTGAGCTACGAGGTTCAACTACTGACCAAATTTTTATTTCATTCCAATCACCAAGGGTTCAGTTAGTTCTGGATTGGGATGACAAGTCCTGACTGGGCAGCCAGTGTAAATACGATCAAGCGGTAGTAACGCATCACGAATTCACATGATAGTCGGGGAAAACCCGCCTTGGTGATTGAAGCGAAATAACAACCTGATCAGCAGTCGTATCTCTTAGCTCAGTTAGTAGAGCATCAGACCAGAAACATCGGTGGTCGCTGGTTCGAATCCGGTCGCGGTCCAAATTCTCATTTCACCTTCAATCACACAGTATAAATACTAGTCTGCCAAACCATGGTTATCTTAGATAGACAAGAAAGATAAAATATTGATAATCAGTCTTTATTATACTGAATCAAGTAGCCCAGGATAGATGAAGGGTCACATTCATTATATTCTGAACATACAATTTTAGGGTGAGCGTATTTGATTGATCCAAAGCGCTTGTAGCACATTTAATAATTTTAGATTGCGGTTATGTGAAACAATTGAAAGAGAATCATTAGTATTGATTTTTTTATCAGTTATCAATAAATCCCTGCATATAGATAATGCTGAACTTCTAATCTTGTTAAGTACATTTAGTTTAACCACTGAAGTGAATCTTCTTTCCCAAGGGTATTGTATCATTCTATTAGCTCTACGCATAAAAGTCTCCTGACAACTGTAGGGTGAACTTGTAGATATAATGTATGGTAGAGTTGTTAGCACTGGGAGACAAGATATCCCTGAGGTTAAATGCAGAGAAGTAGCGTAGAAAATGCGTTTGATATCCGACTGAAACCTTTGATCTGTCAACTACATTATCTGGCCACCTTTGTATAGTAAGTTAACGAAGACTGTTTTCTTTGTTACCGTAACTTTCTTCTCCATGAGTAGTTGGTGTTTACTGTGGCATACAATGATTTTTTCCGTATAACTACTGCTCTGTAAAACTGAGTGTATAAATTGTATTTCACCATCTAGTGTATCGCTGGTACATATTCTACAAGGTCTTGAGAATTGACACTTAACAAAACAACGTTTCAAGTTGTTATTCATCGAAGACTGACATCAGTTCGAGGAACAAAGGGAACCTGAGAGCACTGGACAGCTGTTTCGTCCTAGTATGGGAGTCCTCAGCAGTGCGCACCCACGACCCCACACCGGCAGGGATCGAACCCGCGACCTTCAGGTTCCGCGGCCAGCGCGTTACCATTGAGCCACTGGGTCAGAATCCAATGCTCCATATTTCCAACTTCTGTTAGCTCACGATATAGCGCAAACCGCCACCCAATGTCATCGTTGAGTATCTGTCCTCACGGCCATCAGGCTATGACTCTACTGGTTTATCCAACGTTTATCCTGGATAACAACCTTCTGATAGCTCCATCTGATGATTAAAATGTTCAGAAAACTCAATTAATCACTCCATTTTATATTCCGATGCCACATAAATATTTGGATGAACAATATTGAATAAGGTAGTACAGTCAATAATTGATTCATGATTTTCATCTATGACAAGAATATCATCCACATAACGTTTTTAGAAAGCAAAGTTTTGTAACATACTTTCCATTTGTTTTTCCAAGTACGTCAGCTAACAGGGGGTCCAAAAGAGATCCCTATCGATCTACTTGTTTGCTTTATTTTGAAAGTTGTATCTGAAGTTATGTGTACACCACAGAATGAGGTTCATCATTAGAGAGACTAGTAACAGTAGTTGAATTTTATTAGGTTTACATAGTAAAAAAAATAAATACCGCTACTTCATATAAAGGAACATTAGTAAAGAAATTTTACAGTGCTAGAGTATTTACAAGTTCTATGTTAGTTGCATGGAGGCATTCGGCAGGAAGTCTTTCACCTAGGTATCGTGCTTGTTGGCACTCCTTAGCAAAGCGTATCCGTAACCTCGATGGAACTGATGTCCCGCCTTAGATTCCAACACGCGTCACCCAGTACTTTAGTCAGAGATATTACTATTGAGCAAATCGGACCACGACTAACCTCCTGTAGGACAAGTTCAAACGAGCTTTCTATAGAATGAATTGATAAACAATCTCTTACTGACTTGAGAACTCCTGTAAACCACTTGTAAATTTTCGTCAGATAACCGAGCTGGTTATGAACTGCTTCATCTATCAATGTATGTATTAATGAGACTTGAAGCTGATACGACATATCAACTAGTTTGACCCTAAACTAATCATGATTGTATTACAATAAAATTTTTAAAAATCTTTTTTCTAAATACGTAGACTTACGGAATTATATCATTACAGAAGTTAGTGAATTTAATTCGACTTCCCATGGTAAAGTGAGTGTTTGTACACGTTTCTTTGCAATACACAATTAAGGTTTGAAGCTACTTATTAGCAGAGCTTTGGTTGTACATAAATGTTTAATTTTCATTTGTTTTCAACAGTTTGGTTAAACTTTGAACAAGGTTTCTAAAGGAGTCAGATGTTCGAAGTCTATGAAGTGTTCAAAGATCCAGTTGGATCAGCAATTAAGCTAAGTGATATTCACGAGCGTGGTTTGGCAAGCGGGCGCATAGTAACCTATCCTTGATGATAGTAAAGTGACAAGATTCTTCTTCATATTTAAAGAAAACCAGCTTCGAAAGTTGATCAATCGTTCATTCTAAATGGACTTCCTGTAGATGGATCTTTGAATCGAATGGTCAGTTCTCCTTTGAAGTTTGACATGAAGAAAATGAAACATTGAGTTCCATATAACTTCTAGGTAGGTTTCTGTGTTTTCCCGTTAAAATTATAGGGGAGGACGTGAAAATTTGGGAGAATCTTCGGTGTAACGGTATCTCTTCCAATTCAATCAGTTTGAAAAGATATAATCTGAATCTTATCTTAGTGAAACTAATCTTCATTGCTAGAACTAGAAAGTAATACATCACACATCATGCATTTCATTTGAATCATCCACAAGGGAAAGGAATATATTCGAAGACTACTTTGGTAGCGTCATTTAGAAACGAGTTAGAAATGTTGACATGAAGCTAAGGAAAAGTTTAAGGTTCATTGCTGTTGAAGTATTGTTTCTTTAATAGCCTGAAAAGTATAAATATATCTTTACCTTTACCTGTATGCACACCTTATCCCTTGAACCTAAGTTCTGTGGTTTCAAATCAAAGGATGATGAACTCGATACTGAATTTCACTTCGATCAATCAGACAAGAGGTCTGACTCTAACCTATAGTAGTTACTTTAATCATTTCAAATCTCTGGTAGCTCAAAAGTAAACCAAAACACTGTCTAAAGATCGCTGTAGTCAATTGAAAGAACTTGATGACAATGATCCACCTAGATAAAGGTACTGGGATAGTATTAATGAATACGATTTTACTTATTTTAACAGATAAGAAGCCAATGAATCAGAAAGATCCAACTGAACAGATAGGAAAGCAACTCGATCATACTGTTCAAAATGGGTGGGGATTAGACACTTATGTACAGCCGAAGCCTTTGCGGTTCAGAGCTTCAAAGCTCAATTGTTCATTCAGAAAAATATACGAACACTATCTTTACCATGGCCTTAAACAAATACACAGCACCTCCATTTATGTTTTATCTTTCCATTCTATTTCATTTAGTTGATGATTGAAGTCGAAGTGAAAATCTGGGCCATGGTAAGATCCGAAACAGTAACCCCTGGGTTGTCAGCCTGCTACTTTTATCAACTGAGTTAAGAGATCCGACTGCTGACCAAATTTCCATTTCACCTCAATCATCAAGGGTTTTTCCTGACTGCCGTTAGAAGTTGTGATGCGTTACTGTCGTTTAATCGTACTCACATTGGATTTAAATTAGCATGAGAAGTCCTAACTGGCCAGCCAGCATGAGCACGACGAAGCGGTAGTAACGCATCACGAATTCATATAGTAGTCGGGCAAAATCCTTGGTGATTGAAATGAAATAAAAAAACTGGTCAGCAATCACGTCTCGTAGCTCAGCTGTTAGAGCACCGGAGTGGTAACCCGGGCGTCGCCCGTTTGAAACCTGCAGCAACACAGATTTTCATTTCACCTAAATCACCACCCAGTATCAGTACACGTCTGCCAAACCATGGTTATCTTAGATACTCAAACTGATGTGTTCATATGATTATTTTCACCAAATCTTAACTTTCAATGCATTTTCATTAGTTGTATCAAACTTTTATGACCGTTCCTTGTGTTACGTAATACTATTTCATTCCCTCTATATTGTGTCTACATTGTCATATTACTTACATTAAGTTAGAATTCATCATGGACTGACATCAGTTGGAGGAATACTGAAAACCTGGGAGTCCTGGACAGCTGTTCTGTCCTAGTATGGGACTCCACAGCAGTGCGTACCCAATACCCCGCCAACAATCGAACCCCGGACTTCAGGTCCCGTAACCAGCACATTACCATTGAGCCAGTGGAGTCAACCGAGTAGAACATGAAGACAGTTACTCTACGACAACATTGGATGTAGGTTGCGCTATATCGTCAACTGATAGAAGTTGGAAATATGAACCGTTGGATTCCTACCCAGTGGCTCAATGGTAACGTGCTGGCCTCGGAACCTGGAGGTCGGTATTGGGTTCAATCCCTGATGGGGCAGGGTCATGGGTGGCGCACTGCTGGGGAGTACCATACAAGTAGGACGAAACAGCTGTCCACTGCTCCCAAGTTCCCAGTGTTCCTCCAACTGATGTCAGTCCATGATGAATTCCAACCTAAAATCAATTAATAAATCTCTACGAACCTCCAGATAGATATTACTTATTTATTTACGGATACATAGCTACGGAAGTAAGTCATCGAAAAGATAACTATCTTCGCTGTGTCCCCTGTGACCTCTACAATCAATACTCAGTTGAGCTTTTAAAAATGTCTCCGATCATCTAATACATCAATCAAAGTGCACAGTGATGCTGAGTCTCCTAGCCTGATGACCACATTACAAAACTGATCAATATAAGTCGGTCAGCATGTAGTACTTAACAGCATGAAATTGGCTACTCTCCACTGAGCAAGCAACGTAGCTGATCCAGTCTTATAAGTGATCAATCCCAGTCCGAATAGCTCAGTGGTAACGTCTCTGACTGCAACATTGGGTGACACAGGTTCGAATCTCACAGCGGACATCCATTCATTCTAGGTTACAGGTACGCTTTGCTCATGAGTGCTGACAGGCACGAAACCTACATGCAGGACTTCCTGCAGATTACCTCTAACAGTCTAGCATCAATAAACATTCGTATCTAACATTTCCAGGACCGCGAGCATGATAGCTTCTGTTTTCGAGGAATGCAGACATCAAAAGTGAGGACTGAAGTTTATTACTCGAAGGGTTCATATGTATATTAGTGATATTTGTGATAGAATTATTAATACTGGGTGATGATTGAAGGTGAAGTGAAGATTTGGACCGCAGCCGGATTTGAACCAGCGACCAACGGGTTTCCGGCCCCATGCTCTACCAACTCACCTATGAGGTACGACTGTTGACCACATTTTTATTTCACTTCAATCACCAAGGGTTTTGCCAGACTACCGTGTGAATTCGTGACGTGTTACTACCACTTGTTCGTATTCACACTGGCTGCCCAGTCAGGGCTTCTCATACCAATCCAAATCAAACTGAATTAGAAAGGGGGAGCATGATATTGATTACCATTTTGACCGGTAGTCACTGGTTTGAATCTGGCAGTGATCCAAAGTTTTTACTTCACCTTCAATCATCATCCAGTATCAATACTAGTCTGCCAAACTACAGCTTTCTCAGATAGTCAAAATGACATAATTATAAGTAATATGTTACAAAGAATACTTATATACTCACTTTCAGTAGTCCTGCGTCTACGAATAGCTAGTTCATATTCAAGCCTACACAAACCTTCTCCAAGACGTACACGAATCTGTTCTTCTGCTGCTCGAAGTCGTTCATCTGCGTCACATTGAATAATTTGCAACTCATTTTCCAACTCTTTATTGGCTATTTCCAAAGCAAACTCCATCCTATGCTTTGCCACCTTGAAAAAGTAAAAAGAAGCTTATACATAGAACTGATTATCAAGAACAGACACTCATCAACAGCTGCCGCCTACACTCACTCGATACTGAAGATCAGACGGCCAGAAAGAATAAGCATTAGGGAACTTTGGGGACGTCCAGCTAAGAACCTAACGCCTAACAAATGTGCAGAAGAAAGTGGAGATGGATTGGATTGGACATAAACTGAGAAGACGGTTCGGGTCATCACGTGCTGAACCAGGCCGTCGAGTGGAATCCAAAGGGAAAATGACGAGTTGGGTTCCGGAGGTGACATGTAGGAGGTGTGAGGAAGAAAAGAAAGTTTCTGGCCAGTCGTGGAGCCAGATTCAAAAGACTTCAGAGAACAGAGTAAGGTGGCGACGTACTACTGAAGCCCTATGTTCCACTAGGAACTCAAGGGACAAATAATAATAATCAAGAACTATCTACACTGCTCAGCTCCCAACTCCTTTAGACTAGAAATCAGAAAAACTACTTAAATTTGCCACTATACGATGAATAAAAATTTCCCACTTTCAAGCTGGAGTGCCATTTATCATCACGAAACCAATGGGCTGGAAATATTATCAAATGCGACTGAGTCGGTGTCAATGATTATATCACAGTCATTTTATTTCATGTGAACAGTAGGATAAACTTCAAAAGAATGGAAACATATGAGAAAAATTTCCCCTTGGAAACTTTTTGATTTGGTTCAAATCAAAATGACTAATTATGTTTGATTTTTCTTATAAATATTATTATCATTTAAATTTGTGTGGAGTACATTTTAGTACCTCATTTTATCAAGCTTTTATGATCGGTAATTTAATAATTCCCATTATTTTCAAGCTGTGCAATCGTATATATATATATATATATATATATATATATATATATATATATATATATATATATAATATTTGAAAAATTATATCCCATGAGGAAAACTAAACAGTATATGATTATCATTTGTCCTTTGGGTTCCTAGTGGAACGTAGGGCTTCAGTAGACGTCGCCACTTCACTCTGTTCTCTGTAGTCTCTGACTCAACCTGGCTCCACAACTGCCCAGAAGCTTTCATCTCTTCCTCACATGATCTCCTACATGTCACCCTCGCATGCCCAACTCATCATTTCCCATTTGGCTTCCACTCGACACCCTGGCCTGGCACATAATGTCCCCATACGGTCTTCTTAGTCTATGTTCAATCCAATCCATTCCTTTTTTCTTCCGCATATTTGTTGGGCGATGGGTTCTTAGCTGGTTCGATCCCGAAGTTCCCTGTTGCTTATTCTTTCTGGCCTTCTGCTCTTGAGTGTCATTATCGAGTGCAGGCGGCAGCTGTTGAAGTATGTCTGCAGTTTGTTGGAAATGGTTTCAGTAACGCGCCAAGCCTCTCAACCATCACATAGAAGCACTGACTTGACTGACTTAGTGTTGAAAATCCGGATCTTTTTCCTTATGCAGAGTTGAGTGTAGTAGATCTCCACACTGATTTTAGATTAATGAAGGCCCATCTTACTTTTCCGATCCTGCCTTTGACATCCTCGTCTGTGCCACCGCCGCCTGTAGTTGAAACGATGCTGCCTAGGCAGGTAAAAGAGGCGACCTCCTTTTGGTTTCTCCTGTTGATGGTGATTGGTACTTTTTATTGTTGATCGGTTGGGTATCGTCATCACATCTGTCTTCTCTACGTTCACTTGAAGTCCTGACTTCGCTGCCTCGCTTCTTCTGCCAACTTGTTGGTTTTCGCCTGTAGATCTTCGAGTTTGTGCGACATTGGGCATAAATCATCATCGGCGAAATCCAAACCTTCTAGGGTCTTTTTATCCGTCAAACAGCGTATGTCCATCTTCTCGCTCCTCACAGTTTGTTGCATGATCCAGTGCAATTGACCACAATCACGATGATGATCGGTGATAGTAGGCAACCTCGTCTTACTCCTGTGTCCTGTCTTCACTTCAAAGGCATCACTGAGCTTTCCACTGTGAATCACCTGGCATGTAGCATCCACATATAGTATATAGCTGTTGAACGAGGTTGAGAAAGGTTTGTGGTAAGGATGATGCCATAGGTATTTGTGATTATGATAACAATTGAAATATGAATGACAGCAAAGTAGATTACGTAACACATGGAATGGTTCATAGAAGGTATATAAAGTAGGAGGTTTGGACGAATTCGATAAATAATTTTAAAGTCATTGTCTGGGTTTGTTGAGTGATGGAAATCAATCAAATGTTCTAGAATCGAATTTCTAACAGACTTTCTCTCACCTTTATAAAACCAAGCAGGAACATGTTCTCGTATACATGTAGGAAGTATTCTCTGGCTACGGCCAATGTACCTTGCTCGACAACAGCAGATGAACTGGTAGATGCACACAGAGGTGGCTAAACGAGGAAGTTTATCTTTAACACAAATTGACAATAGTTTACGGTTGTGAAAATTCAAATGAAGTCTTACTGCGAAGAAAGTTCTATTGATTGATCCACATGCACGATTCTTGGGTACATCTGATGCTTGGTCACCTTTAAATTCTAGACTCAGCAACAATATTTTATTTCAGACTGAGTAAATGACCAGTTTAGTGTTTCTTTCCCGCATATTTTTATCAATAAAACGGCTAGGGTAACCGTTTCCGATAAGTGTGCTTCCTAAAAAAGATAGCTATTCATCACTACAGATATTTCTGATTCGATAACGGTGTGTGTGTGTGAGACAGAGAGAGAGAGAGAGAGGGAGAGAATGAATAAGACTTCTTTCTCCGTTGACAGCCACCCAACTACAAAAATTAGTTAGTTGTCCGTTCCATGTTGCTTTTCTACAGATAGATCTTTTGAGGCATCCATTCAGACGTCGAGTGAGAAGCACATCAAGAAAAGGAATAGTTAGTTCTTATTCCTTCTCTATGGTAAACTTGAGGGTTTGATGACATTCATTAACTGAACGAAGAACACCGTCCAGATCAACATTTTTGTCACAAGTAACAAACGTGTCGTACATTTGTCTTCTTTAAAATTCAAAGTTATTAAGAGTGTGATAAAGTTGAGAATTCTCTAGTTTCGACATCAAAAAGTTTGCTAACAATGGTCCCAATGGTGACCCCATCGCGATTCCATCTCTCTGTCTATAGATTTCATTAATGAAACTAAATCAGGTATTAAATGTGCACCTCGACAAAAGCTCTTTCAAGCAGCCGGTTGGTAGTCCTATGTCTAAATTATGTGCATCATTATAGTCATACATATTACAGACAGTCTCTGTGAGTGGCACACTCGCGAACAACGAAGTAACGTATAGTGAAAATATCATTTTGTCTAAAGCATTAAAATCTTAAACACCCTCAACAAACTGAAATATATCACGCATAGAAGAACTTAACACCACCCATTCCATGTATTACGTAACCTACTACTTTGTTATCATTCATACTTCAATTGTTATCATAATTACAAATACCTATGTCATCATCCTTTTTATGGTCGAAACAAAACCGATCATGTTGCGGAAAGAAACACTCAATAGGTAGGTTGTTATTTCCCGTTGCTATACAGGGACAAAATTCCCGACCTCTGTTGACAGGCGGGCTCTTATGAGGGTGCCTCATTACTCCCGATCATTCATCATTTACATTGATCTTGGTCACTCACAGAAAAATCCAGAGCACGCATCTCGTCCCAGTTGGGACTCGTCAACTGGATGTACCTGCATCCTAGTGAGGCTCGAACCCAGTACCAATCGCTTCAAACGCCAGAGCGTCATCCATTAGACCACTCAGGCACGATAGCGATTCGGCCCTGTATAGCAACAGGAAATTACAAATATCAGAATAGCAACTTATACTCGTTCCAAAAGAGGCGGCTATCGTGCACCAGTCGCTTAGTGGATAACGCTCTGGCATTTGAAGCAAAGAGTACTTGGTTCGAGCCCCGGCGGGAACAACATCACTCCACACTGGGGTGCAGGTACGTCCCAGATGACGAGTCCCAAATAGGACCAAACGAGCGTTGTGGATCCCTCTGTTAGTCAGTAAGACCAATTGAATAGGTAGATTGTTGGTCTACTCACAATATAAACAAAGATAAATCATGATTCGTTTAACATTGCTCAGAAATTACTTCGACATACTTTGAAAAAGCTTTTTCAGATTAACGCGATAACTACCAGTAGTTTAATTTCTTTGAAGACCTTCATTCCTTTGTAACTGAATACGTCTCAAAATAATCTTCGCAAAAAGATTCACGCGTAGAAAATTGTTAACTTAAATGAAATAAAACTAAAAGTTCACTTCAGAGGTGCCAATAACTTTTAAAAATTTTGTAAGCGATTCCGTTGAACACCATTTCTGAAACAACCAGCACTAACGACAACTTCCTAAAACGTTAGCTTCCTTAATGCTCACCCACCTTAATACAGATATAAGGTAGAAAAAAATCAACGTAAAACCTCTCACGGAAGTGCATCGCTTCAAGTTGTTACGCTTTACAGTAGGATACAAAGAACCAGTGGATATAAAAAGAAAGACATAAAAGTAGACAAAGGTTTTTGGGAGGAAAAGAAATTTGAAAATCAATATACACCAAACAACTTAGACCAAAAGTTAGAAACTTCATGGACAACTCCCAGGTCTTGATCTAGTATTCATGAGCTTTCTTCAAACCTAATCCAACTTTATCTAGCATTATACATCGAGACAGACGGTAGCTTAGCATGTGCAACACATATCGAAGCCATTTCATTCGAAGATTTTACCATACGTGAGAAATGCCACGAAAACTTCTATGGTCAAAACCTGAAATTACTTCATATCATCTACATTCAACGGTAACACATGCCAGTCACCTGAGCTAGTTAACATTCACAGCCTTACCAACTGACTTCACTCTTCTTCCTAAAACTCCACACCTCACTTCTACATTGCTGACGTGGTGACAATAGCACACTGCATATACCACAAGCACAACAGTGGTCGAACACGTGAAGCCTCACCACGTCCTCTACCTTGAATGGCTATGTCCAGCAGCCATACAGTAGAACAGGATGAACCACAGTGCAGTAAACTCCACCCTAAATCGTTATCTGGATACCACAAAAGTGCCGAAAATGGATTAGATTGGTGAATGACAAGTGAGCTAGTTTTATCCGTGCAGAGATTCTATCGGTCAGTTAGCCAATATGACTGGTAAAAATTCCCATATAGGTGAAGTGATAAGCGCGTTCAACCACTTCTCTTGCAGTCGTCAGACAACGCACCAATGCAGACTAGACCTGGAGCAACAATCTGCGGTTTGGTGATGACAAACTTATCCAATCATTTCCAAATAGTCATTCAAGGCTCTAGAAGTCACCGCATCCTATAAGCGTTCTCACTATTTCATCTACGTGCTCTAGATCTACTAAGGATTCTCCTGTGACTAGATCAATCCCTGTGAAGTCAGACGACGAGAGGAAGACCTCCACATGTATGTCTGTGATAAAGTTGAATAAGTTGTGAGAAAGGATATAGTTGACGGAAACCACTCGACGCACGCAACTCACTTCATATCTCTCCATGCTCTCTAACACGCCCATGAGTGTTCGAGTATACAACCGTCAAAAGATTGATGTCGTTACTCGGTACCCGTTTTCAGTGAGAGACAATCGTTTAACCTCTCGATCGGTGGAATTGAAAACCGCCTTCATGTTGAGAAATGAAGCTGTTGTCGGGCGTCGGTGAGTGTGCCGATGTTTCCGGGATCTGTTGGAAAGTGAAGATCTGGTCGATACACTTATAAGTAGGTCTAAAACCCTCACGGTTTTTTCAGGTTCGCTGTTCCCGAGCTCATAATTATAGGAACTAGAATCTCAGGCAATATGCTTGTCACACTGGTTCCTTTGCTGTAATCACAAGACGGCTTCTCACCTTTCTTGAAAACTGGGGCAATCCGTGATTGAAACCCACCAGAGGTGTTCGTATCTTACTCACATAGACTAGCTAACACGTCAGTTAGCCTGATCAGTAGTCGTTGACCACCGTCCCTAAATACCTCTGTCACTAGTCCACCTGGGGTGGTACCTTTCATTGTTGAGGACTACATAGAACTTTCTCGACTTCTGAAAATGTTGGAGGCCCTATCTTAATGTTTTTATCAAGGATCCTATTGAGTAGTGGGCAACGGAAGAGAAGATGGAGAGCATTTGAAGTTTTCCGTCCATTGTTCCATTCATCGTGTGTGGGTGAATCTAAAACCCGTCCTTCTCCGCTATGGTCTTACTAACCTCGGAACTTTCTGCCTCAGTTTTCTTAATAAATCTAAATAACTCTACTTTTACCTATCACAGTTGCCTTTCCCATCTGTTTAGCCTTCGCTGCCCATGAGTGTTCGCAGTCTACATCCGAGTAGTTCCTGCTCCTCGCTGGGCTTTTACAGGGATGCGTCTGTGTGCATCCGTTTATTCAGAAACTCATGAGATCCACTGGTCCTTTTTAACCACTTTTTGAGTCAGTTGCAGTTTATCACACTGTTTTATAGGGTCAAGCTATGAAAACTTGAAGACTGTCTAGTTCACGTTGGCTTTCGACAGGTTGATATTTGAAGCAAACCAGCTGACTTTCTTTTCAGCAAAACATCTACTGACTGAAATTCCAAGTTATCCTCGGATTCTGATGTCAGTTTGGTCGACTAATGACAATCACTAAGCATCTCTACTATGTATCATCTGTAGATCTCCTACGTAGACGAAAGATTCCAATAGTCTAGTTCAAAACAGTCCCCTCTGTATTGCCTATTGAGGAATTAGACGGTAGAGGCTTAAATGATGACCCCAATAGCCATACCATCCTTCTGTCTGTATAATTAATTGTTAAATTCCAAGTGAACTTTGAAAGTACACAACAGAACTTCTTTTCAATAACTTTTTTTATAAACGACAATGACCCACTACGTTAATTTTAGATATCAACAACTCACCATATCATGCTATCGCCAAGTGGCTCTCCGATTTCTTTCATCCAACCCAAGCTTTAACCTACGCGCCTAGCAAGAGGAGGATGCTAACGGATCAATAGTTCGATCCCTCAACACCTAGTCATTTATTGACATGTACCTTTACCGAATTCTGCCTTCGAAACTGTCTACAAAGTCAAGGTAAACAGTTCGAAAGGAGTACCACTTCGCAACCTGTGTACGGTGAAAGCACTGACAATTCCAGACAAATTTATGTGAATGTGTCCCAACCTCTTATTCTGCAAATGGTCTTAATTACTCTTTGTTTTTCTGATTGATAATAACTAATTAGTTCACTATTATTACTGTCATTATGATCTCTTTCTTTTTCTCATATTTACACTTACTAAGAGGAATCTACTCTATCCCGCTTCACATCTGCAAACAATTCTGACCTTGTCGAATTGCGTACCTTTCTTCACACCTGTACCAGCATTAATATCATTCAGTAAGCTCTTTTCGTCTCTAGAAACTAAATTAAACATGGTTGTAACGATGTAATTCTACCCTACTGTTTAATAATGTATTGTTATATGTTTGTTTTAGATATAAATACGACTGCATAGCACTAGGAGATAGCATCGCCACTAGAAAAGAAACTTTTGTCACTGATTTGCCTTTTTTTGCTTATTAACATATAAATGAATTTTGAAAATGCATAATTATTAAAACAAAGATTCTATACCTGTAATCTAATTTTGTATGTCTCTTCGACTAGAGATACTACATGAAGAAACTCTGATGCAGTACCCATTTTAGCTTGAATTAACTTGTTCTCCACTTGCATTATTCTCTCATTGTAGAGTGATTCTTTTGCTTGTTTAAATTCCCACTCCAACTCTGAAACCTCTGACTGTAATTCCTTTTTCAGTGATTCAATTTCTGCATCTGTGAGTTCTTCTCCAGTAGTTTCATTATGAAAATCTGGCTCTTGAAAATCTTCTTCATTAGAACGATCTTCATCCATTTGAAAATCCTCGTTAGTTTTTGACTCTTTTAAACCTTCATCAGCCATCATTAGATAAAAATCTAATGACCGAAACAACTAACACTGTTAACAGAAACTTCCAAATAAGATAAGTTCTAATTAAAACCAAACTATATCAACTCCGGAAGTACAGACTCACTAAAATAAAAAAATAAGGTAATGAGTACTGTACACATTGTGACTAAGACACTGAGGGTAGTTCCTGTGACGTGCATCTCTATGTGACACAAATTGTTTTATTATATGTTTACAGTAAGCTTCACTCCTAACAATTTCTAGGATTGAAGAGATACAAAAGGTAATCGTATCCACTATAAAAAAAATGGTAGAAACTTCAATAATGACGTTATCCCTCGTGTTTAAAAGTATGATTCCTTAATCCTCTTTTGAAAAATTACCACTTCCGATAACCGACTTTGTTCATCAAGTCTTGTAGACTGTGAATAAAATATTCTGGTCACACATCAAACATTTTTACATTATTTGGTTGTAATGCATGCACTACAGATTACCGTTGCTTTCTTGTTATATCCTCATTAGTGATATTCATCAGAGAGTCATATATGCAAATTAGTCACGTAAAAAAATTGCGAAAACATGATACAATAAGCAAATATCAGGTTTAATACTCAATGGTAGAAAATGGTTAACTACTTAGTAACTTACTTTTGTTACTGCATCTTTTGTAAATAAATAATAATCTTGTCTTATTGAATATACAACAATAAGTCAGCGGTCACTACCGATTCACTTTATTTTAGAGGTAACTCAAAAAAGCATCAACTTCCACAGTATCAAAAGTAGTGAGATATTAAACTCGGATAGCTTCCATGGGGAAAAACACCCATGTAACTATCATCTCTCCGTTCAATTACCTGAGTTTCTTCAACTTCCTAAACGGAAGCCTTCACTAACGTCTCAAACCAAAGGAACACTAAGTCTAGTCTCTTGGAACAACAAAGTCGATTTCACATTGGAGCTTCCAGCTTTTAAAACTAGAATATCAGGTGATTTTCGAGACATGCATGCAGGATAAATAAGCGTTGTTATCCATTTAAATTAACTTTGTAATTCACCCTGTAAATATTCAAAGATCATATGGCTAGTTCCTGTGAACTCAATGGTTTATGTAGGGCTGTGAGTTCTCGAACATAAAACAAACTTCGTAAATGAACGCCAGAAGCTACGATATTTACTGGCTTCTATTTGTAGCCTTTGCCTAAGCGATCATTGACTACAGTTTCGACGATGTGACAAGTTAGTTTTACAGAAAACTTTAGGCTTCACTACAAAAGGCAAAACACTAGAACACAGTTATAATGGTAGTGAAGCTGGATCAACCACAAAGGCATCTAAGGTAAATCCATGGAAACTTGTATCGAGAAACAGGCAAAAGTGAACATCTTTGAATTTTTGTAGGCATAATTCCTTGTAACTAATCAGTGAAACCATTTTTCTTGACACGCAGGCGGCATCCGATTCCGTCGACCAAGAGGTCTACTGAAGTGCCTCATGTTGTAGAGGATACCCTACAAATAATAATACTGTCCAAAAGTATTTGTATTAGAACATTTACAGTAGCATTAGAGCCCATGGTGGGGTATCAGGTGAATTGTATACGCCGTGATATCAATCAGTAATATCTACTCTTCAACTTTATTAAAATTTTCTATAGACATACTTCTGAAGGCTTTCTTATGCTTGTCTGACTTGACGGATAGTGACTTTATTACAGGTGAATCCTTAGCAAACCTAGATTACGTATATGACAGTTCCTTTAAATGAGGACGCTGACAAGATACAGAACCTTCTGGACACCTTGACTGACAAATTTAGAATCTTTGACATGCGTGTTTCCATTCAGGCACAAATTTTTGTTTTGATTGACCTCCACCGATACCTTGTCTAACAATAGAGGATGTGGTTGAACACGCTGACCACTTCACTTACATAGGAAGTCGGATAAACCCTAATAGGTCAGTGACGGACGAAATCCCTACCCAAATACAAAAAGCTTCTGTCAACCTGCGCTCTTTCGTGTCAGTTAGATATCCAATCACCTAATGAGCGTCGAAGGTAGTGCGCAGCGATACGTACCGTCCTACTAAAGGGTTGTGGAATAGTCATTTAAAGTAGAGGATATAAGACGGCTTCAGGTGCCCGACTAATGTTATCACCATAGCACTAGTTACGTGTCATGGAAGCAACACGGGAATAATGTCTAGTGCAGTTCGAGTATCGCGCATCGTCTAGTTTTTCCCCATCGAAGTACATACTGAATACAGCTTCAAAATCCAGACGATGGTTTCACCAGACTCATTTTTCCTACAAGAAGTTAAATATTCAAAATTAGTCTTGTCAGAGGGTGGCTTTTTTTCGATTACGAAGGTTGAACTTGGAAAAATGGTATACTTTAGACTATCGGAACTTCGTATAAAAACCCCGACCGTCAGCCACAACCCTGGTGGTGGTCATCTCTGTATATCATAAATATCCAAGACTTATGCCGATGAAATGCTTGTCCGTACGAGGTCCTACCATACCAAAAAGGTTAGCTGCATAATAGTTAGATAGAAGGCGGCTACCTCTATAGTGTTCATTACTATGCCATGATGGGGCTCCGAGGGCGAAGTCGTATTGCTGGCTGGGTGGAGTGTAACAGCAGTAAGGTGGTTTCCGTGGATGACCAGCAACGCCATGCTGATACTGCTTTCCTCGTGGGAAGGGAGGGTCAGCACTAAAAATAGCACATGCTCCCCTACTTTCCAGCATATCAGTGCCAACTATATGGGTTTGTATTTAAAGTAACAAAAACAAAGAAACAAAGACTCCGGAAACGCCATATGTGATCCACCTCGAGTAGTTTTCTCTTAAACTCTATGGTCACACACTAGCTCTTCTTTTCCAATTGCCTCAAGAAGAAACAGTCTCCCACAGTGTGAGTAGTCAGGAAGTTTCAACCGACCCCAAACCTCCGTCAACACTCAAATTCCTTCAGATCAGTATCAACTTCCTACGTTTTCACCTTCCAATATTTCTTCACGTCTCTCAGTCAATAATCCTACATCATCTTCAATTTCATGCAACTCTGAAGCTCTTGGTGACAGTTAGATTTCATGGAGTAACATCCCTGATCTTACACAAACCCACACCAAAATAAATATCATTGTCAATGTTGGTGCCCTACGTTATATCGGCCATTAAGCTTTGCTAGCCAAAAGTCTGTCATCTCGAATCATGGATCTGAGTTCATGAGACATACAAACAAGTGAGGTTATTAACCTAACTTCACCTGGCCAATATGGTGAATCTACAAAGCTCACCCTTTGAGTTTCTTGAGATTTGATGACTAGTTCTCGCGGTATTGCAGGTGGAAGAATAACGTTCAGTAAAGGCAGAAAGCCCATTGCTCGACTAGATCCTACTAGTCAGTCACCTATCTGTAAGACGTTTAACAAAAACAGCACAGTACCGACTAAAAAGAATAGAGAAAACCATCAATCTCTTTTATATTTCCTACTTACGCGAACAGGTACTGCAGCTCGGATGAAGTGAAGGGTGAATTCTACTGAAGAATGAAGCCTTCTATGGAAAGCTTAACACTCATATATGGTTGTCTTAGCAGGTGATTTCACTGCACAAGTGGGTAGGGTAGATCAGGCAGAAAAGCGTCTAGGTGACACTTGAAATCTCAGGCGGAGGAACGGAATATGCCGACCACCTGCTGCAGATTTGCTCACACTGCCATCCATTTCTGGTTAGCACGAACTTTAAACAGAAACGTATGAATTTTCTGATGTGGTTTCCACCGACCTCGGCTCAGTAGTGGACACACAGACCAACAATTGTCGGTAGAGAAGGTCGATAGGAGTTTTGCCATGTTTTCTGGAGCACGTGTTTCGACAGCGATTACCCACTGGTTCGAGCACGCATATGCCTAGGCCTTGGAATATCGGCACACTCACCGACGCCCGACAACAGCTTCATTTCTCAACATGAAGGCGGTTTTCAATTCCACCGATCGAGAGGTTAAACGATTGTCTCTCACTGAAAACGGGTACCGAGTAACGACATCAATCTTTTGACGGTTGTATACTCGAACACTCATGGGCGTGTTAGAGAGCATGGAGAGATATGAAGTGAGTTGCGTGCGTCGAGTGGTTTCCGTCAACTATATCCTTTCTCACAACTTATTCAACTTTATCACAGACATACATGTGGAGGTCTTCCTCTCGTCGTCTGACTTCACAGGGATTGATCTAGTCACAGGAGAATCCTTAGTAGATCTAGAGCACGTAGATGAAATAGTGAGAACGCTTATAGGATGCGGTGACTTCTAGAGCCTTGAATGACTATTTGGAAATGATTGGATAAGTTTGTCATCACCAAACCGCAGATTGTTGCTCCAGGTCTAGTCTGCATTGGTGCGTTGTCTGACGACTGCAAGAGAAGTGGTTGAACGCGCTTATCACTTCACCTATATGGGAATTTTTACCAGTCATATTGGCTAACTGACCGATAGAATCTCTGCACGGATAAAACTAGCTCACTTGTCATTCACCAATCTAATCCATTTTCGGCACTTTTGTGGTATCCAGATAACGATTTAGGGTGGAGTTTACTGCACTGTGGTTCATCCTGTTCTACTGTATGGCTGCTGGACATAGCCATTCAAGGTAGAGGACGTGGTGAGGCTTCACGTGTTCGACCACTGTTGTGCTTGTGGTATATGCAGTGTGCTATTGTCACCACGTCAGCAATGTAGAAGTGAGGTGTGGAGTTTTAGGAAGAAGAGTGAAGTCAGTTGGTAAGGCTGTGAATGTTAACTAGCTCAGGTGACTGGCATGTGTCACATACGCGTAGTCACTATGTTCCTCATCTGGCTGTTGATGGAATTAGGCTTAGGATAGAAAGAGTGTAGAGTCGGCCAGACTGAAACATGGTATGTTTATGAAGTTCTTGACTATCGGTTCTAGCAAAGCTGGGAAATGTTAACTTTCCGCTATAGGTCTGCCTGACAACAGAAATGA